AAAAAAAAAAAAAAAAAAAAAAAAACTTCTGATTTTTGTGTCAGAAATACAATAGGGTCTCTCTTTGCTTTGTTACCCAAATATAAAACCAAATTGCTTCCTTCCTCAGCCTGCACAAGTCCCCCGCTGCGTGTCCAGACTTATGGCTGGGACGGGTGCTCTGGCCAGGGAATTCCTGGAGTCTGTAGGAGGCAGAAGTCGCGGTGGGTGGGAGGACAAGGGCTTCCTGGGGAAGGTTTCCTCCAGAGAGGCTTCCAGTCCTCAAACAGAAGGGCCTTGGCGAGTGAGAGAGGGACCCTGAGCCATGGAGGGAGACACAACCCTGAGCCATGGAAGGAGACACAGTGGGCAGAGTTGCCCTGACTTGCCAGCCCTGCTGGTGGGCACAGAGCTGCCTGCCCTGGGAGCAGGTTGGCTTCTGGCGGGTAGCTGTTTTGGCTGGCTGACCTGGCATTACCCGTGCCACTCCCCGCTCCACCCTCGATCCCCACAGGCCCATATTTTACATGGGATGCTGCCTGACAGTAGGACAGAGTCCACTGAACTGCAGGGAGTGACACCTGGCCACAGCCAGCTGCAGGCTGGGCAGGGTGTGTGGGCGAGACCCAGAGACCGGCCGCTGGGGAACTGGTCAGGGGCCGGCCCTGGAGTGGACTCCAGCCAGCTGGTTCCTCCCTGCCCCTGTGCTCCTCCCCACACCCCCTAAGAAGTTTCACAGCACAAGGTAATTTTTCCAAATGCAGGTCACTCTGCCTCTCGAGGATGCCAAGGCTCTTGCAGGGGGCGGTGGGAGACAGGAACAGAGGATTAAGAGACTCTTCTTTTATTGTGGGGTGTTGTTTTGTTTCCAGATTACATGCATAATATCTGCTTACTTCAGAAAATTTGGAAAACAAGAAATTGTCAAGAAAAATCCCATTTAGGATATAAGCTATGGGGCAGCTTTCCCAGGCACAAGGGAATAGCACCTCAGAATTTGGTAAGAGCCGTTCATTGTCAGAACTAGGTGGCATCTTAAAAGGCGATTTTTCCTCAGCCACTGAAGTTGAGGTTTTTTTCTCTTTTTCTTTTTTTGAGACGGAGTCTCACTGTGTCACCAGGCTGGGGTGCAGTGGCGCAATCTCGGCTCACTGAAACCCCCACCTCCCAGGCTCAAGCGATTCTCCTGCCTCAGCTTCCTGAGTAGCTGGGACTGCAGGTGCATGCCATCACGCCTGGCTAATTTTTTGTAGAGACAGGGTTTTACCTTGTTGGTCAGGCTGGTCTCAAACTCCTGACTTTGTGATCCTCCCGCCTGAGCCTCCCAAAGTGCTGGGATTACAGGCGTGAGCCACCGCACCCAGCGAAGTTGAGTTTTAAAAACAAAGACAATGTTTTCCAACTCTCTCAGTTTACACATTTACGTTTTACAGAATGAAAGCCCAGAGAGGCCAACGGAGTTGGCCAAAATCATCCTGGGACAGAGACGGATGGCCTTGGAATCCACTACTTTCCATGCATTCATTACCTCGTATTTGTTACGTTATGCGGGACCAAAGTGCGGGGATGGCTCATGGGGGTGTCAGAACGGTCTATGAGGTGGGCTTCACCCCAATGCGCTTGACCTGCTAATAGGTTTTGAATAAGAGCTACCTTTTATCATTGCTTGTAACAAAGCAAAACTGCCCTGCAGAGGCGAGGCACTGCAGGGCAAGCATCAGGCCTGACTGTGGACACTTGGGGTATCGTTTGGGCTGTGCCAGGGCCGGCCATGGTGGTTTTGTATTGAGCAGCACTGTCCCTGGCCCTGTGGAACCCAAACTCTCTGATTTTCCGAGATGTTTTGTGAACTCACTGACAACGCTTTAATAAATCACTTTCCTCCTTCAACCAACCAGAGTGGACTCTTGCTTACTCTCACAACTGCATTCTAGAACACCTCATGCGTGCCAACATTACTTTCCCCACGGCTCATAGTTGAAGTTGGTTCAAAAGAAACTGCTTGCTCTGGCCTCAGACCATGTGTCTGAATAGGAGAAGGGAACAGAGAGGCAGAGCAGGAGAGGTCAGCCCAGACCCAGATGTTTGTTGGAGAGAAGGCAGCCCACAAGTGGCTCTACCCCAGAAGGCCAAGAATTGACTGGAAAGACAACATGATAGCTATTTTCACAAAGGTGCATGCTCTTTCCTTTTATGACGAAGATTCTGCAGGGCTACACCTCCATTTCTAGTACAGGACCCAGGAATCTGGCCCCATTGTCATAGGGTCTAATGGCCAGGCCTGCATCTGAGACTCAAGGATGCAGGTTCAGAAGTGGCGCCTTCGGGGTCTCCTCCTGGAGAAGCAGGATGGGGGTTGCTGAGCCAGTAGCAGCTTCTTTCTGGCATCCAGGATATAGAAAGTCTGCGTGGTGAGGCAGCTGACCATGGGGTCAGAGTCTCTCTGCATGTGTCTTAGGGCTGCAACAAAGACAGAAAGGCTAGTGGGCTGGGCAGGAGGGCCTAGGCAGAGAGGTACCAGGCTATGGTGTCAGGACTGGCAGATTTGAAACTATGAGCAAGAGCTTCTTCTGGGAGTCCACAGTGCTCCGTCACAAGCAAGACCACATAGCCGCCGTGCACACAGGGAGATGCGGGGCCCACGTGCTCCTCACCCTGCACCCATTACCAACCGCTCACTCCTCTCCACTGGCCCTCCCTGGCCCTGCGTCCCCTCTTCCCCGTAGAATAGCTGTGCATGAAGTCTTCTGCAGCCAGGGACTCAGCCACACATGGGGCCCAATGCTGTCTCTCCCACGAGAAGCCCAAGGGACCCTCCTGGCTGCTGGATGGGCTCCGTGGTGGCGAGGGTGTGAGTGAACATGGGGCAGGGGGCTCTGACCGGCCCCTCAAAACTGAAGCATCCTGGGGATGTCTGCCTCTCCACTCTTCTGGATGATCATTTTTGTGAGGCCATCTGCCCATTGTTCCTAACTTCTGAGCATTCCTCTCCAACACTGGTGCTGCCAAAGGACGCAAGGAGGAGGAGACCAGGCTGCCACTCACCTGCGTGCGCCTCGTCAATGTCATCCATCTCTTCCAAGTCGAGAGTCTGGAGAATCTGGCCTACAGGGGCACACAGAGGCACCTCAGAGCCCCACAAGGAATCAGTGGGGCCCTGGCTGCAGGTACTCTTGTCCCCCTTCCCAAAACACTCACCATTCCCTCCTTTTTCTTGCCTTCCCCTCCCTTGGCCACCAGCCTCAGGTTTGGACTTTTCCCATGAAGTTGAACTTGTGTTCCCTTGCTTCTCTGAAGGATTCTAAGCAAATTGGGCTGGGTGAAGGAGTGGACACGCCTCTCCCGGAAGAGCTCTTCCCTGGGGTGATCCGAGGCAGTCCCCCACCTACCTCTGCACTGCCCCCACTGGGTAGCTCCCAGACCCCAATGCTCCACCCTTTGGCTCTCTGCTGACTGGGCTCCTAGGACTTGGCACATTCTGCTGTAGGAAGGTGACCACCCAACCCGACCAGGAGCTTGCTACAGCGGAGGGAGCAGGAGGCCTAGGTAGGCACTCCCACCTCCACTCCCACCCCATAACGAAGTCCCCATGGGTTCTGTCTCTCCTCATGTCCTGGGTGCTCAGTCTGCTTAAGGGACCCTACGACAAGGACAAAGTGGCTCCCAGAAGATGAAAAGCCATACCTGCAAACCACACAGCTGCCCGGCGGACGGGAACCTGGGGGCTGCTGAAGCGCACCACACACTGCTTCAGAAACCAGAGGGCTTTGTCCGTCTCCTGCTCCAGCTGTAACAAGAGGGGTCAAATTGTGGAAGGGACACTCAGGCAGTTTTCAGATTACACTGGAGCCATCCCCTGAGTGCAAAAATCCGTCAAAACCTTCGCCATCTCCATCCCCTCCTACCCCAGCTCCTGAAATCGTCTTTCTTTCATGAAGCCTTCCTGGACCAGCCATGCCGCAGGGATCATACTCCCTGGCCTGACCCAGTTTGAGTGTGAAACTCATAGACTGGCCCCAGTGTTTGGCTCAGACATTTTTTTCTCTCCTAATAATAGAGGAGTGAAGCCTATTGCTGAAATCCCGTGTATTTCTATCTTATCTTAAACCTTCAATCTCCAGGTCATATGCTTTAGGTTGCAGAAGATCATGCCTACAGAATTCTGTTTAAGCAGAGCCTTAGTCACATGAACACAAAGATGGGAACAATGAATACTGAGAATTCCAAAAAAGAGGAGGGGGGAGGGAAGGAGTGGGGCAAGGATTGAAGAACTACCTATGGACTACGTTCACTCCTTGGAGATGGAAATGTTAGAAGCACAAACCTCAGCATCACACAGTATACCCATGGAACAAACCTGCACCCATACCCCCAAATCTAAAATTTTTAAAAGAGGCCAGGCACCATGGCTCACGCCTGTAATCCCAGCACTTTCAGAGGCCAAAGCAGCCGGATCGCCTGAGCTTGGGAGTTCGAGACCAGTCTGGGCAACAGAGTGAAACCCTATGTCTACAAAAATACAGAAGTTAGCTGGGCCTTGTGGCACATCCCTATACACCTAGTTACTCAGGAGGCTGAGGCAGGAGGATCGCTTGAACCCAGGAAGCAGACGTTGCAGTGAGCTGACGTGGCACCACTGCACTCCAGCTTGAGTAACAGAGCCAGACCCTGTCTCCAAAAAAATACGTAAAATAAAATTAAATACTTAAAATAAATAAAAATAAACAGAGCCTAGCCGTGCTAGGCTCTCTCCTGCCTAAGAATGCAGCCCCTTCTGCGTACATCAGACTTCCACCCTTGAAGGTTCAAAGGATGATGTGTCCTTCCCTTTGCAACAGCCACTAACCCAAGCCCGTCTCCTGCATCTCCTTCCTAGCTCCCATCCTAACCCTCCTTTTTCCCTCTGCAGTCGGTTCTTAAAACAGAAGGCTACATCCATGGTTTGCCCAACTCCTTTTGTCAGGATCTTTTCTTCAAGTAGAAATCTTAACTGGAAACCCAATATCCCAAACCCGTAAACCCAGCACTTTGGAAAGCCAAGGCAGGAGGATCACTTGAGCTCAGGAGTTACAGGCTAGCCCCGGCAACATGGCAAGACCCTGAGAAGAAAGAAGAAAGAAAAAGAAGAAGGAGGAGGAAGTGGAAGAGGAAGCGGAAGTGGCAGAAAAAGAAAGAGGAGGAGGAAAAGGAGGGAGTGGGGGAGAAGGAGAAGAAACAGGAGGGGGGTAGTGGAGAAGAAGAAGGAGGAGGAGGAGAAGGACAAGGAGGAAGAAGAGGAGGAGGAGAAGGGGGAGGGGGAGGAGGAGAAGGAGGAGGGGGAGAAGAAGAAAAAGGGGGAGGGGAAGCGGAGGAGGAGAAGGAGGAGGAGGTGGAGGAGGAGGAAGAAGAAGGAAGGGAGGGAGGGACGGACGGAAGGAGGGATGGAGTGGGGGAGGGAGAAGGAGAGGAGGAGGGGGAGGAGGAGGGGATCTCTTGAACCTGGGAGGTGGAGGTTGCGGTGAGCTGAGATCGCGCCACTGCACTCCAGCCTGGGCTTCAGATCAAGACCATCCTGGCCAACATGGTGAAAGCCTGTCTCTACTAAAAATACGAAAATCAGCCAGACAATGGTGGCACGCACCTGCAGTCCCAGCTACTCAAGAGGCTGAGGCAGGAGAATGGCTTGAACCCGGGAGGCAGAGGTTGCAGTGAGCGGAGATTGAGCCACTGCACTCCAGCTTGGGTGACAAGAAGGAGGAGGAGGAGGAAGAGAAGGAAAATGAGAAGAAGAGGAAGAGGAAAAAGAAGAAGGGCTCTGCTGGGGTTGAAGGAGGTGGGAAGGCTGAGCCTAGCCTGCCTGCTCTTCTCTCCAGTCTTTTGAAGTTACCCGAGAAACCATGGGGGTTTTTGCACCCTTGATTGCTTCCTGAAACTGGTCATGGTCCTTCCTAGGTGACCATGACCCTCCTCTCTTTTTGCCCTCCTTTGACTTTCTGCCAGATTTCTTTTCCTCGTCTTCTCCGTGGGATCCTTGGAACTGATGTCTCCTGGGATCTCAATGTTGACCCCTATGCTGCTCCCACCACGGTGTCCTTAGGAGAGCACATCTGTGCTCAGGGCCGCAGTGTCCATCTACCACCCGGCAGGCTGCTCGGAGCTCACCAACACAGCGAGCACATCTGTGCTCAGGGCCGCAGTGTCCATCTACCACCCGGCAGGCTGCTCGGCGCTCACCAAACAGCCCTGTCCTCCAAGCTTCAGTGACACCTATCTACCTTCCAACGGAATAGGTCCACTTAGTGTTCTCACTGATTTTACAAGGTCTCCACGCACAAAACCACACCACCACCCTCCCCTCCACACCTGTTCCTCCCTCTGTATTTCTGACCTCAGTCTGGGACACCAGCGTGTATCCACATCGGAAGCCAAGAGGCGACTTGTACTTCCACAATTCACATCGTATCCATCTCCACAACTAGCTAGTCCGGCTCGTGTCTTTGTCTTCCTGGCTCCATCTTTCCCCAGACACTCTCAGCACAGCGTCCAACTCCCTCCCTTGGGGACGTTTCTTTGATTTGTAGCTTCCGTGATTTGTGTGAAATGCACAGCTCTCTGACCATACTACCTGCTTGCTCAAAATGCTTCAACCACTTCCCTTGCCTACAGCCGCAAGTCCCAGTCCTCACTGGGCCCAAACCTCCACAGCACAGTGCGGCCCAGCCTCCTGCCTCCTGCTTGGTGTCTGCTGCCTGGACTGCACACTGGCAGTCTATGAGCAAAAGCAGCCTAAAGATATTTTTTTTTTGTTTGATCTACATAATGGTTTACATTTTAAATTATTTGCAAACATTAATGCAGGAAATTTCACCCCAAATCAGGATTTCCTGCTTCTTTTTTTAAAATAAAAAAATTTATTTTTTGAGACAGACTTTTGCTCTGTCATCCAGGCTGGAGCGCAGTGACATAATCTCAGCTCATTGCAACCTCCACCTCCCGGGTTCAAGCAATTCTCTGCCTCAGCCTCCTGAGTAGCTGGGATTACAGGTGCCTGCCACCTCGCCTGGCTAATTTTTGTATTTTTAGTAGAGACGGGGTTTCCCCATGTTGGCCAGGCTGGTTTCAAACTCCTGGCCTCAAGTGACCCGCCCACCTTGGCCTCCCAAAGTGCTGGGATTATACGTGTGAGCCACAGCACCTGGCATGGATTTCCTGCTTCTCTTAACCCTGAGCCACTTTCTCTCCTAGAAACAATTGGTGAGTTCTCAACTGGGGACTGTACTATGTGGAGGGAATTACGAAACTGGGAGATGTTTATGGTTTTCAAAATGATGATGGGGTACACCAGTTTCTAATATCCCATTATACATTTATGTCTATCAAAACCCTACTTATAATAATCCATGCCTAGAACTTGGCTTTTTTAGACAATAGAGTACTTTTTTTTTTTTTTTTTTTGCGCAGAGTCTGGCTCTGTCGCCCAGGCTGGAGTGCAGTGGCGCAATTTTGACTCACTGCAACCACCACCTCCCAGGTTCAAGCAATTTTCCTGCCTCAGCCTCCTGAGTAGCTGGGACTACAGGCACATGCCACCATGCCCAGCTAATTTTTGTATTTTTAGTAGAAACAGGGCTTCACCATGTTGGCCAGGATGGTCTCGATCTCTTGACCTCATGATCCGCCTGCCTCAGCCCCCCAAAGTGCTGGGATTACAGGCATGAGCCACTGCGCCCAGCCAATGGAGTATTTTTTCACAGTTCAGCTACATACTGGATTTTCTAGGAATGCATCTGCAATAGACATCAAAGACTATAGTTCATCTTGTTCAGAAAGTCACAAGAAATGATTCATCGTTTTGGAAGTCCCATCACCAACGGCAACCCTTCTTGTGATGTCTGAGTCTCCCACACAATGCTCCTATATCATTCTGCATTTGTAGCAGATCCGTTCACAGTGATTCCCTGAAGAGGGGCAAGGATTCATGTATATCATTGTTCTTAAGTAACTAGGCCCTGGCAGGGCGCAGTGGCTTGCGCCTATAATCCCAGAACTTCGGGATGCTGAGGCAGCTGCATCATCTGAGGTCAGGAGTTCGAGACCAGCCTGACCAGTATGAGGAAACCCCATCTCCACTAAAAATACAAAAATAAGCCAGGCCTGGTGGCAAGCACCTGTAATCCCAGCTACCCAGGAGTCTGAGACAGGAGAATCGCTTGAACCCGGGAGGAGGTGGAGGTTGCAGTGAGCCGAGATCGTGCCACTGCACTCCAGCCTGGGCTTCAGGACTCCGTCTTGAAAAAAAAAACACACAAAATAAAGTAACTGTGCCCAAACATTTACATGTAGTATTTATGTTCTATTATTATGTTGTGTTATGCTGCATTGTGTTCCATATATTCATACAGATTATTTTGTTGTAGATTACTTTCATTTCTCCTTTGGAGTTAGGGCATTATATTACTTATTTTGGAAATACGCAAAGGTAGAGGACATTATTTATGAATTTCCCTTTAGGAGCGTAAAGGCGGTGCCACTGAATGTGTGCTGTGACGGCAGTGTGGGGTCCCTGGTCATGCTGAGAAGGCTGCTTGCGCTGGGCCTCAGGGCCTAACGTTCTCTTCCGGGCCACCCACTCTGATCTCTGGTTGGTGTTTCTTGCATGGCCTTGCAGGTATTCGCCTTTTTTTTTTGTTTGTTTGTTTTCTGAGATGGAGTCTTACTCTGTCACCCAGGCTGGAGTGCAGTGGCACAGTCTTGATTCACTGCAGCCTCCATCTCCCAGGTTTAAGCAATTCTCTGCCTCAGCCTCCTGAGTAGCTGGGATTACAGACGCCTGCCACCACACCCAGCTAATTTTTGTATTTTTAGTAGAGATGGGGTTTCACCATGTTGGCCAGGCTGGTCTCGAACACCTGACCTTGTGATTCACCCACCTTGGCCTCCCAAAGTGCTGAGATTACAGGCATAAGCCACCGCACTCAGCCAGCATTTGCCTTTTCTGCCCTGCTCTAATGATTCCAAGGCACTGATGTTAATAGCTCCCCACACACCAGACCTTTCTGCCCTTATTTCTCAGGATGGTTGTGAGGATCAAATCATACCAGAAATTGTGTGCAAGGTCCCTGGAACAGAGTGAGTGCTTTGCTCCACACCCCTGGGCACAGCATCACCTTGGTGTGCACTCTTGATTCCTTCCCTTCGCCTAAGTGTTACCCTGCCTTCCATTTCTCCTTCTGAAGATGACACCTCTTCCAGGAAACCTTCCTTCGACTCCCAGACTGTGCTGGGTACCCCTTCTTTGCCATTCCCAAGGTATGCTGAGATTCTCTGCTTGTGTGCCTAGCTCCCCAATTCAGACAGGAAGCAAGGGGAGGGCAGGAACCATATCTAGGTGCTGAGCACAAAGTAGGTGCTTAATGAGTATCTCATCGTTGAACTGTTGCTGCTGCCACTGCTACTACTGCTGCAAGCCCCGGAGCTGCAGGAAAAGGACCCAGACTGCTGGGGATGCCGCCCTCCCTTGCATAGGGGCAGAAGGTGAGCAAGTTGCTGGCTTACCAGGGCTCCGAGAATGTTCCACACATCTTTCTCTGCAAATACTGCTTTCAGCTTTGACCAGCCCAGCACAGCAGCTGTGTGGCAGAGGGCAGACCGGCAGATCTGGGAGAGAAGGAGGCTCAGTATGAGGAGCTGGGGAGTGGGCCTGGGCAGGGACACGGAGGGTGCAAAGAGCAGAGACAAGCAGCATCACATCCAGCCTCAATGGGATGGAAATGCTGGTGAATCGACAGGGACCCAGGGCTTAGGGAAAAGGCAGGGGTCCGGGCAGCGTGACTCTACTTACACGCTCCTTTTCCCACTAATGAGAAGTTTAAAAATTACAGTTCTAACATTTTCCCAGTTGCTGTGGTGTGACACGGAGACCCAGAGCACTGGAACTATCCAGCTCAGAGCCTTATTCACTGGCCACATGGCTTCCCACGCCCCCACCCTTGCCCCCACTCCACCCCACAAAACAGTCTTTCTGAAAACAAATTTCCCCAAAGTCTTAATCCCCCAACTGGGTGGTCGCTGTTCTAAATCAGGGCTGGCTGTGTTGGGAAACCACGGTGGAATCCACTGGTGGGGCTCTCCCACACAAAGATAATATCCCCATTCAATCACTTGCCCAGCCGGCCTCAGATGCGCCTAAGAGGCCTCAGTGACGACAAAGTAGGCTGCTCTGTGGAAACAAGGTGTCCTGTCACTAAGTCAGCCAGTCTTCAAGTGTTCAAGCTGCAGTTCACGTTCCTGGGGCTCCTGGCCTCAAAGCTGGACTCATTCATTCCGGAAAGAAGGCCAGTTCTAGGCCGTCTCTGTTCTGCCCACCACACTGCCTCCCACGGGGGCTTCCCGGCCCAGGGAGCCCTGTCTCCATTCACAGGCAGAGAGTATGCAAACAGCAGCGTGGAGAGGGGGCCCCTGGAGCCACAGGCAGGGAAGCAGAGAGAGGGACTGGTGCCTGTCGATGAGACTCTCCTAGGAGTAACACCACTGGGAGTCAGTGGCCAATCGGATGGAGCCGGAAGCTGGGGAAAACTTCAGTGCAAGCATCTGTCACTCTCTAGTCTCTTAGTGAAACTCTGCAAGGACCGGGACTACTTGACTCCTTCAGCACCATCCAGTCCTGCCACAGCCCTGCCTGAGCACTCAACATGTTTAGCGTTTACCTCCCATGAAAACAGGGACTGAAGACCAGGCTCCACGGCCTGGCGTCTCACCAGAGCCACGTCGGAATTCACGTCCTGCAGGTGGAGCACTAGGGCGACTAGCAAGTTGAGGATCTGATGCTTCAAGGGAAAGACAAGGCTCCGCTTCTTGACCTTGGCCAAGACACTCCCATAGATCTCAAAGGCTGCCAACCGCAGATGCTCTGACACCTGTGTGGGGAAGACGCCTCTGTGTCTGTCTTTTCACCTGGCCACCCAGGGTCAGGGGACCCGAGCTCCACCCCCCCGATCCCACACTCCTGTGTGCATCCCTCCCCACGTGACCTGCTCTGACCCCTGCCGGCTGTGGTCTGCTTTCTCACTCCATCTTACTCTTCAGAAAGACACAGAGGGCAGAAGCTACCAGCCCCCTTCAGAATGGTGTCATATTCAAGGTGAAGGGCCTTGAATCATTCTGCCAACTCCGTGTGGGTTTTTTTGTTGTTGTTATTTTTTTTGAGACAAGGTCTCAGTCTGTTGCCCAGGCTGGAGTGCATGGCATGGTCACAGCTCACTGCAGCCTTGACCTCCTGGGCTAAAGCAATCCTCCTGCCTCAGCCTCCCAAATAGCTGGGGCCACAAGCACCCACCACCACACTCAGCTAATGTGTTGCTGTTGTTAGAACGGGGTCTCACTATGTTGCCCAGGCTGGTCTTAAACTCCTGGCCTCACATGAGCCACCTGCCTTGGCCTCCCAAAGTGCTGTGATTATAGGTGTGCGCCACCACACCCAGCCGACTTTCTTATTTTACAGATGCCTAGAGAAAGAAAATGACCCCGAGAGGCCTTCACCTCCTCAAAGAAGGGCGCCAGCGTGAAGGTGAGCTGGATAAGGAAGGAGGACGAGTGCTGCCAGGTGAGGTGGCTCAGGAGAGTCTTCAGCACCCGCAGAGTCTCCAGCACGATGTCACCGTTCGAGGAGTAGCAGCAGTTCAGCACGTAGGGCTGGAGGATGCGGAGCCGTCTGACCTGCGGGCGACAGCTGCTCAGGGAACGGGGAGCTGAGGAGATGACCCCTGCCAAGCCAGGGAATTCTCATTTCAAGTCAATTCAGCCCCACAAATGAACGCCGCATTCTTCTGCTTTTTCACTCTGGAGCTGGGACTTGTCCAGCGTCTGGGTAATAGTTGGAATGAGCTGCCCAGGAGGACAGTTGGGGAGATAGCTTGTGCCCATCATGAGAAAAGGGGAGAAGACAGAGGAGGCCCCCTCCTCCCACTACACCATAAGTTTCATCTCCGCTGCCTTTCTTATCCCTGATGACAACAGCAATCTCCAAGGGACCTGGATGACATGTGTGAGATCCTGGGGTTAGCTTGGCCTGTTCTCTGAAATGGCCCATGGGAAAACTTCCTCAGGAGACCTTTCCTGGGAGGGAGAAATCGTGACTGGCTCCAGCCCCAACTCCTGTCTGTGGTGCACTGGCCTCATGAGGATTTGCTCTCTTTGGTCACAAGAGTGTGTCCCACCCTGTCTATAACTGGACACACCAGATGTCCCTTGCCCTGGTGACAATGTCTCCTGAGAGCACACCCTTGGCCCCTGCCCCACTTCACCATGTTTCCGTGCTTCACGAAGACCTCCAGCATCTGCAGCAACAGCTTCACCGTGGCTGGCTCCTCACTCCTGAACCAGTTTGCAAGAATGCGGATGGTGATGTCATCCACTACGGCTGCCACATCGGGGCACTGGAGCAGCTGCGGAAGGGAGACCAAGAAAGACAGGCGGGCAAGGAGAAAAAGCAGTCCTCAGTGACTTCGGATCTAGGTTCCTACTCATTAGTAGGGAAATATTCTGAGGGGTTTAGAATTGGTAGAGAGGCCAAAGCCTAGTTAAAGGCTGAATTCGTACCTGTCATTCCAGAAGTCATATATTCATTCCCCAAGTTTTCCTTAAGCTTTTTTTTTTTTTTTTCAAGAAGGAGTCTTGCTCTGTTGCCCAGGCTGGAGTGCAGTTGTGTGATCTCGGCTCACTGCGACCTCTGCCTCCTGGGTTCAAGCAATTCTCGTGCCTCAGCCTCCTGAGTAGCTGGGACTACAGGCGTGCACCACCATGCCCAGCTAATTTTTGTATCTTTTAGTAGAGATGGGGTTTCACCATGTTGACCAGGCTGGTCTCGAACTCCTGACCTCAGGTGATCCACCCATATGGCCTCCCAAAGTGCTGGGATTACAGGCATGAGCCACTGCACCTGGCCCCTTAAACATTTTTTTTTTTTTTGAGACAGTCTCCCTCTGTCACCCAGGCTGGAGTGCAGTGGCACAATCTTGGCTCACTGCAACCTCCACCTCCCAGGTTCAAGCTATTCTCTTCCCTTAGCCTCCCCAGTAGCTGGGATTACAGGCATGTGCCACCCTACCCTGCTAATTTTGTATTTTGAGTAGAGACAGGTTTCACCATGTTGGTCTGGCTGATCTCGAACTCCTGACCTCAGATGATACCCCACCTCACTTCCCAAAGTGCTGAGATTACAGGCATGAGCCACCACACCCGGCCCCCTTAAGCATTCTTGATAAGGGAAACTGTAGGAGATAAAAGTAAGAAATGCACTCTGCCCTCAAAGATCCTAGAAATTCAGCTAGAGAGTCAAGACTTACGTACATGAACCACCTATTGAACATTCAAGGCAATAACAATACTACACAAATTCAAAGCAAGTAAAAAGTTATCATAAACAGGTATTGCTCTATCTAGGAAAGGTTTATGAAAGAGGTAGAACTGGAGCTGAACTTGAATAAAGAGAACTTCAGTGAGCAGATGGGAGGAGAACATAGGGGTGTGTGTGTGTGTGCGCGCACGCGCATGTGTGTGTTTAACGGGAAAAGGTGGGTATAGCAAAACAAGAGAAAAATGTAGGGAATAAGTGTAACATAGTTGAGGAAAGGGCAATGGGTGCTGACCTCGCTCCAGAGGATCCCATTGGTGAGGAGTGTTGGACGTGGAAAATGTGTTGGGTTGACCGAAGGTCCTAGGAGGAAAGATACCAGCATGTCATCTTCTGGAGTTGCTCCAGCTGGGTGTGGTGGCTCACACCTGTAATCCCAACTACTCTGGAGTTTGAGGCAGGACAATCACCTGAAGCCAGGAGTTGGAGACCAGCCTGGGCAGCATAGCGAGACTCCCTGTCTCTAAAAAAATAAAAATAAAGTTGCTTCAAGCACAAGTAATAAGGGTCTGGACGAGGCCAGGTAGTAGGGATGGAGAAAGGATGACTCTGAGGAACATTGCAAAGCACATAATGGTCAGATTTACTGACCTGCTGAAAAAAGCAAAAGAGAAAAGTCAAAGACAGTCCCCTGGAATAATCCTTTTTAAAAGGGAGAGGGGGAAAGGAGAATTATTAAGAAATCACTGTCGGCCAGGCACGGTGGCTCACGTCCGTGATCCCAGCACTTTGGGAGGCCAAGTGGGGGATCACCTGAGGTCGGAAGTTAGAGACCAGCCTGACCAACATGGAGAAACCCAGTCTCTACTAAAAATACAAAATTAGCTGGGTGTAGTGGCTCATGCCTATATCCTAGCTACTTGGGAGGCTGAAGCAGAGGAATTGTTTCAACCTGGGAGGAGGAGGTTGCAGTGAGCCGAGATGATGCCATTGCACTCCAGCCTGGGCAACAAGAGCGATGTCTCAAAAAAATTTAAAAAATCACTTGAACCCCGGAGGCAGAGGTTGCAGTGGGCCGAGATTGCACCACTGCATGTACTCCAGCCTGGTGGCAGAGTAAGAGTCTGTCTCAATAAAGGAAAAAAAAAAAAAATGAGAGAGAGATCATCCTGGCCAACATGGTGAAACCCTGTCTCCACTAAAAACACAAAAATTAGCTGGTCATGGTGGTGCACACCCATAGTCCCAGCTACTTGGGAGGCTGAGGCAGGTGAATCGCTTGAACCTGGGAGGCAGAGGTTGCAGTGAGCTGAGATTGCACCACTGTCCTCTAGCCTGGCAACAGAATGAGACTCTGTCTCAAAAAAAAAAAAAAGATTATTTTAAATAACATTTTTGCTTGATGACTTATGATATAGAAAATATATTTTGATGACTTGTGATATAGAAAATACATTTTAAATAATAAAATGACATTTAAAAAGAAAATATATTTTGATATATTTAAATATATTTAAAAAGAAAATATATTTAAAAAGAAAATATATTTTGATGACTTGCGATATAGAAAATATATTTTAAATAATAAAATGACATTTAAAAAGCCAAAAGTCAATCGGATACATTTAAACTATATGTACTTGCTTTAGCATGCATGTATGCATGCACATATGAATGTACATTTACATGTAACTAATGGCAAAGAAGTCTTCATTAACATCTCAGCAGTTTTCATCTGACTTTGACTGGCTGTCAAGCAGATCCACCCTAATTTACTCTCTAGCTAAGTAAGCTAGAGAGTGAATCTCTGCCTTACTTTCATTCTCACAAAATAGAGGTAAATAACACCCTTTTCACAGAATTAGAGAGAATTAAAATAACAGAGCTCTGCTGTTTCTTGAGTACACCGAAGAAAAGCACACAGGGCTTTCTGTTTTAAATATTTCTATTTGTGATCATCTCAAGGAAATTAATAAAGATAACGAAGCAAGCAACAAACGGAGCGACAAAGCTACGGTCTCTCACTTACAGATCTCGACCTACTTACTTACCCGGTCCCTAAAACCCCATTGGCTTTCCACTTTAGAATCTACTGCTTCTCTCTCTGGTTGCTGAAAATGGGGTTCACCCATCCCCCTACTGCGGTGCTCCTTCCAGCCTCTCCCCAACATGCTGACCTTCCCTCCCCATTGTCAGCCCAAAACCCCAATCAGGGTGGCAGATGAGCAAACACTGTATCATGTGCCCCTTGTTTCAGTTGGGTATCAGACACTTGGGGAAACCTCTAGAGTGATTCTCAATCCAAGCTATATTTCTAGAATATATCTTTAATCCTGGGAGCTTCTAAAATAAACTGATGCCTGGACCCATGCCAGATCAATTCAAATAGAAAAACTAGACAGAGAGTGAGGGGCAGGGTGGAGGCTTGGCATTAGCATTTTTGAAACCTCCCAGGAGGATTCTGATATGCAGCAGGGTTCAGAATTACTGCTCTGAAGAGAGAGGCAGCCATCTCATGGTGGCCTCCTGCCCACTCGGGCTTGTGCCTTGTACTGTTTCTCCAAGCTAGGTCCAAGGACTACCTGTGGCACAACCACCACTGGAGTACTTCTAGAAAATGAAGACTTCCGCTGGGCGCAGTGGCTCATGCCTGTAATCCCAACAGTTTGGGAGGCTGAGGCGGGTGGATCACCTCAGGTTGGGAGTTCGAGACCATCCTGGCCAACATAGTGAAACCCCGTCTCTACTAAAAATACAAAAATTAGCTTGGTGTGGTAACAGGCGTCTATAATCCCAGCTACTCAGGAGGCTGAGGCAGGAGAATTGCTTGAACTCAGGAGGCAGAGATTGCAGTGAACCGAGATCGCGCCATTGCACTCCAGCCTGGCGACAGAGCAAGACTCCATCTCGGAAAAAAAAAAAAAAAAAAAAAAAATCATGTGGCTTGAATTTTAAAAGGATCCCATTTAAGGCTGTAGCGGCTCAGAAACTCCGAAATTCTCTCAAATACTATTGGTGGAAGTCTAAAGTGGTACAGCTCTACCAGAAAGCAATTTGTCATTATTGTTAAAATTCATAGAAGACGTTCATACTTTTTGGTCTAATAGTTCCAATTATTATATTCAACAGTTAAGGAAATAATCTGGAATATGGGCAAAAACTTTTGACAGAGATGTTCATTCCAATGTTATTTATAATTGTGTAAAATTGGAAACAGAATGTCGAATAAATTATAGATCATCTTTGTGATGAAACATTGTATCACCACTAACATTTATATTTATAGGCCAGGCATGGTGGCGTACAACTGTAATCCCAGCACTTTGGGAGGCCCAGGTGGGAGGATCACTTGAGCCCAGGAGTTCAAGACCAGCCTGAGCAGTATAATGAGACCTCCTTCTCTACATTTAAAAAAAAAATTTTAAATTAGCCAAGCGGGGTGGTACATGCCTGTAGACCTCGATCCTCAGAAGGCTGAGGTGGGAGGATCACTTGAGCCCAGGAGATGGAGGCTGCAGTGAGCCATGATCACACCACTGCACTCCAGTGTAGAACATACCTTTAAACCTGGGGCAACAGAGTGAGACTCTGTCTCAAAAAATAAAACAAAATTTTAAACTGTATGTTACAGGCTGGGTGTGGTAGCTCACACCTGTAATCCCAGCACTTTGGGAGGCCGAGGTGGGTGGATCATGAGGTCAAGAGTTCAAGACCAGCCTGGCCAAGATGGTGAAACCCCATCTCTACTAAAAATACAAAAATTAGTGGGCATGATGGTATGTGCCTGTAATCTCAGCTAATCAGGAGGCTGAGGCAAGGAATTGCTTGAACCCAGGAGGCAGAGGTTGCAGTGAGCCAAGATCATGCCACTGCACTCCAGCCTGGGCGACAGAGCAAGACTCTCTCTGAAAAAAGAAAAATGTATGTTACAAAGAACATGTAATGACATAGACAGATATTTGAATAGAGCAGGATACAGAATATTAGTAGAAAATGATTTCTACTAATGCAGTGGCTCACACCTGTAATCCCAGCACTTTAGGAAGCTGAGGTGGGTGGATCACCTGAGGTCAGGAGTTCGAGACCAGCCTGACCAATATGGTGAAACCCCATCTCTACTAAAATTCTAAAATTACAAAAATTAGCCAGGCGTGGTGTTGTGCACCTATAGTCCCAGCTACTTGGGAGGCTAAAACAGGAGAATCGCTTGAGCCCAGGAGGCAGAGGTTGCAGTAAGCTGAGATTGCACTACTGCATTCCAGCCTGGGCGACAGAGGGAGACTCCATCTAAAAAAAAAAAAAAAAAAAACGGAAGAAAGAAAATGATTTCAACCAGCACACACATACACACCTCTATACAGGCAAAAACCTGAATGAATGTGGTTTCCTCTGGGGGTTATGCTTAGCAATGGTTTTATAATTTTTGATATACTTTTCCATATTTTTGAAATTTCCTATTTTTTTTTTCTGCGGGTAGTTGAATTATATTGAGTCAATCAGGGGCCCTAAGCAAAGATTAATTTTAAAAGGCTGCTCAAGGCTGAGGTGGTTGAAGGAGAGAGCTGTGTTGTTCCGTAAGGTCAGGGCAGAGTCAAACTGCCAAGAGATTTAAGGAGGCACCAAAGCCCCCAACTCAAGGTAACCAAATCAAATGCCATTAGCCATGGCCCCCAACCCTTCGTAGCAGTGAGTCGGTGGCCTTCCTGGGAGGTGTCTGTTGGGCATGGCTGTCTTACAGAGGGATCACCCTCACCTGTTCCCCTCCCACCAAGAGCCAGTCACCTCTGTCAGGAGCACAAGGGCTGTCAAGTGATTCTTGCAGTCTGGGTCCTGGAGGAACTTGATGATGGAGCCGAAGAGCGGGCGGTTGTGCCAACAGTTATTGACGACCAGGGACCTACCGACAAGAGAACAGTGTTCAGGTGAGGTCTGGGCTGCAGGAGAGGGCCAAGCGAATGGAGGGCCCTCCAGCCGGGGACCCAGGTGCAGCTCACCTGGCCAGAAGAGTGACTCCATCATAGTGTCTTTCAGGATTGACGAGCAGCCCCCAGCCCCCATGTCTCTGAATAGAAGACACATGGTCCCCATAACCACAACTTTGCATCAAGGTCTTCAGGGCCTCCACGGTAGAACTGGAGAAAGAGCAGAAAACAGAAGTCATTCACCATCTGCGCTCCTCTCCCTCACCAGCCACCTGCCTGACTTCCAAAGCTTTCTGGGGATCATGACCTGCTGGTGGTCGGACAGCCCCCAGAGACCCAGTTAATATTTTACAAGTGAAGCAACTGAGACCAAGAGAGATGTGACAGCTGCAAGGTGACACAGTGAGCCAGCAGAAGGGTAGGGAATGCAGTCCAGGTCTGTGGACTCAAATGTGTGTTTTATCTATGGTATTGGTCTCACTTCGGTACCGAATCTGTGCATCAGCCTAGTATGCCAGGTTTAAAGAAGGAGCCTTTCCTTAAAAAGTCCAGAAAGCTGGACTCCCACCTGCAATCCCAGCAACAAAGGAGGCTGAGAGAAGGGGATGGTTTGAGGCCAGGAGTTCAAGGCCAGCTTGGGGAAATAGCAAGACCCTGTCTCTAAAAAAATAAAATAATAAAATAGATTTTTTTTTTAATCCAGGAAGACTTCTTCATACGAAGTGTGGGGAACAGGTTAAGTGCCCTGGCAGGAGCGTGTACAAAGGGTATTCAGGCCCAGCAGGCTGATAACAAGTCGGGCGAAGGTGCTAAGCTGATGGCCCCTGGAGCGTAATCACTAGCAAATGCCAAAGGTACCTTATCGGGTCCACCCATTCAGCTATGTGTTGCTGATCCTGGCTTATTTCAGCGCCCCCTTCAAGCACAAAAAAGGAGATCTGGAACAGCAGGGCCAGGAACAAGGAGGAGAAGAAGGACTGCACCTCCATCCGCCGACTGGGTACCTGCAGGAGCTCATGGACGGCCCTGGTGGCCTGGGAGGGAGGAGGAGAGTCAGCCATTACCATATCTTCAACTCATAGATCCTGTCACCAGAAAATCTCTTTCCACAACCCATCACCATGACAGATTTGCCCAGTAAAACCCATGCTGCTAGAGCAGGTGCAGATTAAATTAGTGTGAGCCAGAAAAATCAAGGGCAATTTCTAGAATGTCATTGTTTTAAAAGCGCTCTTCTAATCATGGTGGTTATTTTAGTCTCTTATCATTTTGAGAGTTAGAGGAGCTGGGGAATCCAGTTCTTCTATCTCCCTGACAAAGCAAAGTCAACTGGAAAACCCTCCCTGCAACCCAACTCCAAGACTGCCATTAGACTGTTTCCACCAAACACTGATACCTAAAAGGTCAAGGCCCAAAGAGCCCGTGACAGCCGTGACAGCCGAGGACAGGACGCAGGGAGTCCCCTTCCCTACCCCGGCCCCCCCGTTGACCTTTCCATACAATCAATGGTGAGATATCTGTTCCCTCGTGGCTGGGCTCCTGGTCCTTTGATCTCTGGTGTGGAGTCAGCCTCTGGAGCAGATATTCCATGATCATTTCGTAGCCTTTGGGGAAGGATGCCAGGATTTCCCAGGGCTTGCAAACCCCTCTGCAGAGTCAGAAACCCACCAACACAGTTACCCGCTTCAGGTAGCCCACTCTCCACAGGTCCCACAGTGCTTCCAGGGGAGGTGACACTAGGCCCCTAGGTCCCCTGGTTTCTTCCTTCTTTCTTGCCTCTCTCTTCATTACCCTTCTCTTTTTCTCCTTCTGTCCCTTTCATCTTGCCATCACCTCCAGACCTCCCTGTTCCCTGTCATCTCACACAAATCTGGAAATGTTCCCTTGCTCTGTGAACCTGGTTTGAGAAAATACCTGAGGTCAAAGCTTGTTGGCCACACTTGAATGTGTCAGATTGGTGAGAAGAGCATCCCGTGGGTCCCTTCTCTCTGGCCCGTCCAAGCTCTGAGAACCCACCCACCCTCAGACCACTGCGTCTGTCTTCCAGGCTTTCCCCTGTTGTCCTTAATACTCAGCATGACCACACCCCTCTTCAGGCTGGCTCTGACCACCAGCCCTGCACAGCACCCATGCCTCATCTCATGCACCCACTCACTCTCCTCCATCATCAGAGACATGCCATTCCCTTTGCCTGGCATGTCTCCCCACTCACCTTTACCTGGCAAAATGACACTCAGAAGAAAAGTACATATCTGAAAAGCATTTGCTACAAATAACATAAAATGTTAGGAAAATCTGCTTAGTGTCCTCAAGAAGTCATGGCCTTTTTGAAACAGGAGGAAGCAATGAGGAAGTAAAGGTGAGATAAAAGGTGAAGACAGACTTTCACAGCTGGCAAACGATACACAGCATGCTCTGGGGACAAAGACAAGAGGGGAAAAAATGGGCTGTCAATGAAAGAATGGCAATGAGACTGATGGCCAACTTCTCCACAGAAACAGTGGAAAGCAGAAGACAGTGGAATAAACCCGCAAGTTCCCAGCAAATCTATCATTTAATGCAGATTTGCTTTACAGATAAGCAAAAATAGATGGTTTGATTAATAGAGTTTCACTAGAGGATAAACTTCTAAATAATACCTTTAGGAGTATTGTTTTTTTCTTTCCCCTTTAGGGAAAAGAAAAATAATTTCCTAAGGAAAGTTCGAGGTCCAAAGGATGGTGAGCAAATAGAATGGTAAATATACCTACAAATCTAAACACAATATTAGAGTAAGAATGGCATAACAGCATAACAGCACTGTTAAAAATAACAGGAAGCTGGAAACAACAAATAGTCATTTAAAAAAGAATGAGTAAAGTAAGCTTGTAATGATCATAAAATGAGATATGAAACAATTAAATAAGCCTGGTCCCGCTGGGTGAGGTGGCTCACACCTGCAATCCCAGCACTTTGGGAGGCTGAGGCAGGTGGATCATCTGAGGTCAGGAGTTTGAGACCAGCCTGGTCAACATGGCCAAACCCCATCTCTACTAAAAGTACAAAACAAAAAAAAAATTATCTGGATGTGGTGGCAGACACCTGTAATCCCAGCTAATCGGGCGGCTTAGGAAGAGAATCACTTGAACCCAGGAGGCGGAGGTTGCAGTGAGCCGAGATTGTGCCATTGCACTGCAGCCTGGGAGACAGAGCGAGATTCCATCTCAAAATAAGCAAACAAACAAATAAGCCTGGTCTAATAGATGACTTTGCATGTAGTAGAGAATATTATTTCAAATATCCATTAAACATATAGTAAAATTGTTAACATTAATCTCCCTGGAGTATGCACACAAAAGAACCCCTCGACACATTCTCTAAAGGAGAAGATATTTACATCATGTTCTCTAATTATCATCCAATAAAACTAGAAAAAGTTTATCAAAATATCTAAACACTTGGAAATTAAATATTAAAGAAGGAAATCTGTATAAATTTGAATAAATATGTCATTAGATGTTGTATTGGCATTCAGTATATTTCAAAGTCTGTTATTTATTTTTTGAAAAACTCAGTAGATTTTACCATTTCTTTGTGTTGAAAGCTTTCAAAAGCCTCTCCTCTGGCTGCTTTGTAATATATGATACCTTACTGTTGATCACAGCCACTCTCCTGTGCCAGAACTTATTCTTCCTATTATAGTATAACTTTGTTTGTCCAGCCGGGTGCAGTGGTTCACGCCGGTAATCCCAGCACTTTGGGAGGCCAAGGCGGGCAGATCACCTGAGGTCAGGAGTTTGAGACCAGCCTGGCTAAAATGATGAAACCTCATCTCTATTAAAAATACAAAAATTAGCCAGGCATGGCGGCACACACTTGTAATCCCAGCTACTCAGGAGGCTGAGGCAGGCAAATTGCTTGAACCCAGAAGGCAGAGGTTGCAGTGAGCCAAGACTGCACCACTACACTCCAGCCTGGGCTACAGCGAGAGACTCCATCTCAAACTGCCCTTCGCCCACAAAAAAACACACTCTAATTATATGATATCAACCTTTTGTTAAATAATTCCACATCAGTGAAAAAAAAAAAAAAACTCAGCAGATATAGAATAGATAGGCACTTCCTTCTCATGATAAAGGAAATTAACAACAAGCAATCCTAATTCCCCTCATAAGAAAGCCTGCACAATCTGCTAGGACAGAGCAAACCCACTCCAGCCTAGTTCTTACACCAGTTAAAACTAAAAGTACTGGACAAATACAAAAAGCAACTACCTCCCAACACTGGAAAAAACAGCATTTCAGTGAGTTTCCCAGAATTCTTTTTTCTCTATTGTCCCCCAGTTTTGACCCGAAAGTGACCGGAGTACTGAACTGTGCAGCAGGCACAGGCAACAAAATCTCTGAGTAAAACTCTGTCTCTCTGGCTAGAGGACTGGGAAAGCGGGTCCTTGTGAGTTGGAGAAGTGTGGGTGGAATCTGTTTCTTTCTTTGTCATTTTTCTCTCCCAGCTCTGTCCCAAGAGTGACTCCAGATGCACAGCTGCACAGTAGAAGTAGTTTGGGTGGTGACACAGCCGCCTAACACAGGGCACCGTGGCCCAGTGTGTGTAGGGGTGGGGGAAGTGCTATTTTTTTTTCTCTCTCTTTTCCTCACTTCATCACCCTGGAGCCAGATCCAGTAGTGCAGTTGTAGCAGCACAGGCAGCTAAAACTCTTAAGAGATGGCCAGGTACACTGGCTCACACCCATAATCCAGCACTTTGGAAGGCCAAGGCAGGAGGATCCCTTGAGGCCAGGAGTTCAAGACCAGCCTAAGCAATACAGTGAAATTCATTCTCTAAAAAATAAATTTAAGGCCGGGCACAGTGGCTCATGCCTGTAATCCGGCACTTTGGGAGGCCGAGACAGGAGGATCACAAGGTCAAGAGTTCAAGACCAGCCTGGCAAACATAGCAAAACCCCATCTCTACTAAAAATACAAAAATGCCTGTAGTCCCAGTTACTCAGGAGGCTGAGGCAGGAGAATAGCTTAAACCTGGGAGGCAGAGGTTGCAGTGAGTCAGGATCCTGCCACTGCACTCCAGCTTGGACAACAAAGTGAGACTTCATCTCAAAAAAAATTAAAAAATATAGGGCCATGGTGACCATGCCTGTAGTCCTAGCTACTTGAGGACTGAGGCAGAAGGATCACTTGAGCCCAGGAGTTCTAGGTTGCAGTGAACTATGATCATGTCACTGCACTCTGGCCTGGGTAACAGAGCATGACCCTGCCTCAAAAAAATATTCAGAGATGTGAACACATAAACATGGATTCTCACTGCAGCATCAATTCTCACAGGAAAAAAAAAAAAAAAAAAAAAAAAAAACACTTTAAATAGGCATTTTAACCATGCTCCATGAGGTGAAGATGTACATAGCTGAAATAAGTAGAAAGGCTGGGCATGGTGGATCACACCTGTAATCCCAGCACTTTGTGAGGCTGAGGTGGGAGATCGCTTGAACCCGGGAGTTCAAGACCAGCCTGGGCAACATAGAGAGACCCTGTCTCTACAAAAAGTTAAAAAATTAGCTAGGTATGGTGGCACACATCTGTGGTCTCAGCTACTCAAGAGGCTGAGATGCGAGGATAACTTTAACCTGGGAGGGAGGTTGAGTCTGCAGTAAGCTAGCATCATGCCACTGCACCCCACCTGGGGCAACAGAGCAAGACCCTGTCAAAAAAGAAAGAAAGAAAAGAGAGAGAGAGAGAGGAGAGAGAGAGAGAGAGAAAAGCAAAGAAAGAAATAGAAAAATGAATGTTCTCAGCTGAGAAATAAGCTATTTTAAAACAAAATTGAAATTTTAGGACTGAAAAATATGGTATCTAAAACAAAAATTCACTGGATGAGATCAAGAGGAAAATGAAGCTATAAATAGAAGAGTTCATGAACTTGCAGACAAATCAATAAAAATTATACAATCTAAAGAACTAAGAAATTAGAAAAAAATTAACAGAACTTCAGGAATTTATAGGACTCCATTAAAAAGTTGAATATTCAGCCAGGCACG